CAGCATACAGATTGAATCAGTATGGTGAAAGGATACAACCCTGACACACACCCTTCCTGATTTAAAACCATGCAGTATCCCCTTGTTCTGTTCAAATGACAACCTCATGGTCTAAGTACAGGATCCTCATGAGCAGGATTAAGTGTTCTGGAATTCTCATCCTTTGCAATGTTATCCAAAATTTGTTATGATCTTTGGCTTAGGGAGAGGTATTTTTTCCACACTTTTTTTTTTCCTCTTTTTTTTTCATGTGATTTTTAAATTTGGTCCCATTTTTCAACTTGTGACCATTTACTTGTATTTGCAAAATCATTGCTTTTAAATTGACAGCATGTGGGTGTTCATGGTTCCTTTTACGTGGTCTCACTGGGTTTCTTAGTCCTTCTAGCAGCCTAGTGAGGTCAGTATTATTTCCATTTTACTGATGAGGAATCTGAGGTTCAGGGGAGCTAAGTGACTTGCTCAAGACCACATTGCTTGAAAAGGCAGGACTGACATCTGTCTGTCCTCTCTTCTCTGTACAGCCAGGTCCTATCTACAACTAGGGAATGCATGGGATTTTCCCTTTCCTCCCTCTGCAAAGCTAACAACTGGACCTTAAGGGATTTGAACTTAGGAATCTTGGTACAATTATATGTTAAGTCCAATAAGAGAAATAAATGGCAGCAACAACAATGACAATAAACCACCAAGAAAGAACGATTTGTTTTCATCTTGGCTAGATGAAAGAGCTCTTTGGCAGGGTCAAGTTGGGAAAAAAAAAAAAAAAGCTAGATGGTTCTTGGCAAGAACATGGGGCTACTCTATTCCCTCAAGGGTGTTGTGTGTGCTTCTTGTTTGAGTTGTGACACAAGCCTGGTACCACTAGGAGGAGACTCTTACCCACCCACTCTCTTGTGTGCCATTGGGAGGCTCTCCTTTTCCAGTTGTGCTTTCTCCTGGGTGATGGGAAGCAAGTGCCTGAGGTTTGGGCTCCCAATTCTGGCCAGTTATGGCTCCTAGAGCCTCTGTAGTTGCTAATAGAACCTCTCTCCCATGACAGTCTCCAAACTAAGGAAGCAGAGTGAGTTATGTTTGGAGACTGTCAGGGTGAGGATTTTCTCCTGGTAGAACTAGAAGGAAGAGTAGCATTGAAGTCCATGGGGGCCAACCCTGGGTCAAGGGGACTGGGGAAGGGCTGGAGGGTGCCAGAGTAGGTAGAGGTGGATCGGGTGAGCAGGCTCTGACATCCCTTGATTTGGCTTCTGCCAGGAAAGGATAAAAAGGAGCTTTTCCATGGCCTGAGCACCCAGGGCCAATAGCACTGAGGTGGGGGAGGAAGGCCTTCTGCTACTTGGTCAATGTATCCAATGGGGAGGTTACAGATAAGACCTACGCAGGGAATGAGTACCCCAGGCTTGAGCAGAGGCCAGGGCTGAGCTGCCACCATGCTCTGGCCTGGCTTGTTGAGTGATACAGAGCACAAGCTTTGCAGTCAGACTGCCCTGAGATGGAATCCCAGTGCCATGATTTACCTATTTACCTATCCTAGGCAAGTACTTAACCTCCTACAGCCTCAATTTCCATAGCATGCTCAGTTCCAGACACTGTAATGGCTACAGTGGTCTGTATCATTGCCGATATCAGATGGATCTTGGCTGAAAGCAAAGAGTACCAGAAAGATGTTTACTTGTGTTTTATTGACTGTGCAAAAATATTCGATTGTGTGGGTCATAACAAATTATAGATAATATTGAGAAGAATGGAAATTCAAGAACACTTAATTGTGCTCATGAGGAACTTGTACATAGACCAGGAGGCTGACGTTCGAACAAAACAAGGGAATACTGCATGGTTTAAAATGAGAAAGGGAGTGCATCAAGGTTGTATCCTTTCACCATACTCATTCAATCTGTGTGCTAAGCAAATAACCTGAGAAGCTCGATTATGTGAAGAAGAACATGGCATCAAGATTGGAGGAAGAATCATTAACAACCTGTGATATGCAGATGACACAACTTTGCTTGCTCAAAGTGAAGATGACTTGAAGCACTTACTGATGAAGATTAAAGACTACAGTATGCAGTATGGATCATACCTCAATAATCCTCACAACTGGACCAATAAGCAGCATCACGATAAATGGAGAAAAGATTGAAGTTGTCAAAGATTTCATATTACTTGGTTCCACAATCAACACTAATGGAAGCAGCAGTCAAGAAATCAGAGGGCTTATTGCACTGGCCAAATCTGCTGCAGAAGACCTCTTTCAAGTGCTGAAGAGGAAAGACATCTCTTTGTTGTTTTTTATTTTATTTTAAGAGTTTGTTTTACATTCAGCGTTATGTATACATTTACTTTCACTCCCCATTTACCATGCCCAACCCTTACCCAGTCTCCTCCCCTCCCTGCCCAGTAACCCTCCCTGCCCCCGTGCCCCTCAAAGTTATGCACCCCTGTTTGTCCTGCATTTCCTCCATGTGAATGTTGCCCCTCTGGTGCCCTGTGGTCTATTGCCCCAAGGGATGTATTTCCATAGAGTGTGTGGGTGTGTCCCCCTGGGTTGAGTGGTCTGCATGTACATCTTGTTTACTATTGGGCTGAGAGCCAGCCCCTGGTTGTTGTTGTTGTGTTATGTGCCGTCGAGTCTGCCCTGACTCATAGTGACCCCTCCTTGGGTTTCCGAGGCAGTATCACTACAGAAGTAGGATTGCACAACCTTCCTTCTAAGGAGTGGCTGGTGGGTTTGAACTGCCAGCCTTCTGGTTAGCAGTCAAGTACCTTAGCCACTATGCTACCAGAGCGCCTAGTGTGAGTTCCAGGCCCAGAATGTATCCCAGGGTTATAGCATTGGTGGTCTCACCAGACTCCATCCGACCAATAATTCTGGTCATTATTGAGTTTTTGGATTTTGTTCCATGTTTTTTCTCCCACTCTATCTAGGATCTCCAGGTTTGATCCTTTCCTGAGTGGTTGGAATTGGTAGCCGGGCACTATCTAGTTCTGGTCTTGAGGGCTGTTGTGTCCTAGGGTTGATTGCTTCCAAATGCCTTTTTTTTTTTTTTTTTTTTTGGCACCCTTCTTCACTTTCAATGATAGGAGACCCCATTAGGTGCATCTTAGATGGCTGCTTAAAAAGGTGCACCTAACCCAAGCCATGGTGTTTTCCATCGCCTCATATGCATGTGAGAGCTGGACGATCAATAAGGAAGACCAAAGAAGAGCTGATGCTTTTGAGTTGTGGTGTTAGCAAAGAATACTATAAGTACCATGGACTGCCAGAAAAACTAACAAATCTGTCCTGGAAGAAGTGCAGCCGGAATGCTCCTTGGAAGCAAGAATAACCAGATTTCGTCTCGTCTACTTTGGTCATGCTGTCAGAAGGGACCATTCCCTGGAGAAGGATATCATGCTTGGTAAAGTGGAGGGTCAGCAAAAAAGGGGAAATTCCTCAACGAGATGGATTGACACAGTGGCTGCAACAATGGGCTCAGGTTTAGCAGGGATTGTAAGGCTGGCACAGGACTGGGCAGTGTTTTGTTCTGTTGTACATAGGGTTGCTATGAGTTGGAGCTGACTCGATGACACCTAACAACAACAGTGGTCTATATACATTATGGCAATGACAAATTATTTCCTATAAAGGCTGTCTTGTCCAATGGCTGGCCTGATAATAAACACACAAAGAACATGTTCAAATTTATGAAATAAATAACTCAAATAGTTGAGGGGACCAAAAAGTTTTTATAGTGGTAAATAAATTAAAAAAAAAAAAAAAAAAACTCACTGCCATCGAGTCAGATCTGACTAATAGCAACCCCTCCTTGGGTTTCCAAGGTGGTATCTCTATGATCTCTATGGAAGTAGATTGCCCAATCTTCCTTCTGAGGAGTGGTTGGTGGGTTTGAACCTCCAGCCTTCTGGTTACCAGTCAAATGCCTTAGGCACTACACCTCCAGAGTTCCTGGTGTAATGTATATAAAGCAATATTTGAGCAGAAGAAAAAAGGCATGTGGACAAGGATAACCATAGATAAAAGTTGAAAACAATCTGGATATGCATTAGGAGAATGTTTTAAAAAGTTGTGATTTGTCTCAGATAGATGATCAGATAGCAATTAAAATAATAAATATGAAAATGTAGAATTGTATAAAGTATGAGCTAATATTAAGTGAGGAGCTCTGGTGGCGTAGTGGATAAGGCACTTGACTGCTAACCAGAAGGTCAGCAGTTCAAATCCACCAGCTGCTCCACGCAAGGAAGATGGGGCAATCTACTTCCATAACTATTTACAGCCTCGGAAACCCAATGAGGGTTGCTATGAGTCAGAAGTGACTAGATGGCAGTGAGTTTGGTTGTTTGGTTGAGAAAGTTCAGTGAAAAAGCATAATTTAAGATGCATGTACAAGTTACAACAATTGTGTAAAAATATATATGAGCAAAGCTTGAAAGGAAGTATGCAAAATCTTATGCTGTGTTCGGGTGGATGATAAATTAGGTTTTTTTTCTCCTTGAATATTATTGTTGTATTATTTTTACAATCAAGTAAGAGGGAGACTCTGGCCTCCATCCTGAATCATCCACAAATGTGTGTTTGTTGGGGACCAACTCCATTGGTAATTGTATTAAAGGTTGCATTAAGAAGTGACAGGGGAAATTTATAATCTCATTGAAGGAGAGACAGGACTTAGTTTTAGGGCAGGAGCTGGTCCATAAGTGGGCTTTCAAAGACTTAGAAGTCATTTTCCAGTTGAGGAGTTTAAGAGCCAGCAAGGCGAAGTGACTTGCCCAGAATAACCAAGCAAATGTCCAGCTAGTCCACAGAGGGGTCAGCAGTCCTGCTGAGCCAGCTGGCGGGCCTTTGGATCAGTCTCCTGCGTTAGGGCACTTGTGTCCAGGAATCACCAGCCAAGCAGGGAGCACTCTTCCAGTGCAACGACAGGGAGCTGGGTGGGCCGATGAAGTGGGACAGAGAGGCTGCTCCCTGGACGCCAACCCCTGTGATGCGGTTGTCTTCACAGGACTCTGAGTGTGCTCAGCCAGACCCAACCTTCTCAGCAGCAGGTGGGGCTGTCCCGGACCATCCGACGTTACCCAGTTGCTGCTGCCAGTGGTCAGCTGACTTCCAATGCCCTTCCCGCGGGACCAGGTCCTGAGCAGAGGCATGACACCCAGCAGGCCGCATATCTGGGCCACCTCTCATCCCCCTGGGGTAAGGATATTCTGTCTTGGGCTCCCCCTCCACTCTCACCTTCTTCCTCATTCTTTCAGCCACTTAACAAACAGTTGTTGGGTACTTGCTTTGTGCCAGTTTCCAGGGATAAAAAACTGAGCTGATCTGGACTGTGCCCCTGTTCAGACTGTTGAAACTTGACTGATCCATATCTACCCAAGCTGTCATTCCTGCTGCCTTTGCTTTCTTCACATCCAGCCATGAACCTCAACTCCCAGATCCTGTCCTTCCATCTCATCCTTCCTACACATCCTAACCCTCTTGGATCAACCTGCCTAGTTGCTTTCTTAGCACCTACGCCTGAGCCTTCACTGCCTACAGGGGAAAACCAAGTTTCTGCATGGATCTAGGCCATGGCAGAGTCTTGGTCTTCCAGCTGCATCTGTACCTCTGTTGTTGCCCAACAACTCTTCCCCATATGCCTGGATACTCTCTCCCGTTCCTCAGAACAGCTACTCAAGCCTTCCCCACTTTCCTGAGTCTCCATCCCACTGCCTCCCTGCTTCATATCAGCACATAGGCGTGCTCCCAGAGAGCTCCTTAACTTCCTGCCCATATGCCCCACCCATCCACATCACACTCTTACCTAAATCTGTGCCCCAGCTGACCTCCTTTCTTGCAAATCTTGAAAGGGAGGTATCCCTCTCTCTGGCTCAGACGTATCCCTACACCTCTTCTTGTTTCCTCTGTAACTCTACACTATTATTTGTCCTTTCCCTTCTATATCTTTGACCTCTCCTGTCACCCCTTCCCTTCAGTATATGCACCTGCTTACAGCTCTCCCAACACACACACACACACACACACACACACTCCCTACTTCCTTGGGCTTCCTCTCTCTCTCCTCCCTTCACAGTCAAGCTTCTTGAATGCAGGGTCACATTATTCCCCACTCCCCAACTTCCTCACCTCCCATTTTCTCCTCAGTGCTCTGCCTTCTGGCTTCCTGCCCTGGGCTCCCCATACTGAATTAATGTCCCTCCTTTGTATTTCCACTGCCGCCACCCTCATTAAAGGAAGTGACCTCAGTTTGCACTGCTTTGATGACCTCCCAACTGGTCACCCTGACTCCTAATCCACCCTGCTCACCACAGCTGGGATTAGAATTCATCCTCCTGCACTTCCTCTTTGATCTCTTGCTGGAATTTTTTTCAGTGACTTCCCCACCACTGGTCAAATAAGGTGTCTGATCATCATTCTACAATCGTTGTTGTGTTGTTGTTGTTATGTGCCATCCAGTCGGACCTGACTCACAGCAGCCCCTACTTGGGTTTCCAAGGCAGTATCACTACGGAAGTAGATTGCCCCATCACAATCAGGGCCCCCCAAAGTTGACACCAATAATCTTTTCCAGCTTTCTCTTCCTCCACTACTCTCAGAAAACTCTCCATCTAACAAGCCTGAATTACTTTCTGTTCCCTGCTCTTTACTTTAAAACCCAGCTGCAGTACTTGTTAGCTATGTGACTTGGGGCAAGCCAATTAACTTCTGTGAACCTCAGTTTCCTTAGCTGTAAAAGGAAACAGTAGATGAAACATGTGAAAAGTGTGGATTTCTAATGGTTCAACCTACTCAAGAGGTTTGAGAGTTAACTTAATGAGCATAAAGCATGCACTAAGTGACTGGCAGGAGCTCTGGTAGTGTAGTGCCTAAGGCATTTGACTGCTAACCAGAAGGCTGATGGTTTAAACCCACCAGCCTGTCCTCGGAAGGAAGCTTGGGCAATCTACTTCCGTAGTGATATGGCCTCAGAAACCCAAGGAGGGGTCACTATGGGTTGAAACTGACTCAACAGCAGTGGATTTGTTTGTTTGGTTTTTTTTTTTTTTTTGGAAGTGACTGGCACTTTGATGGCCCTTAATAATTATTGGACTGTGAGCTTCTCAAAGGCATAGTCCTTGCATGCAAGGATTCACCCCAGTCTTACGGGCTTTTTTTAACCTGGTTCTGGAGGTCATGGCTGTGCCTCTCAGCCCTGCCCCCTGGACCCAAGCCCTCTCTCTGCAGGGGTGAACCTCACGGAGAAAATCAGGAAGATCAAGATCGTCTTCACTCCCACCATCTGCAAGCAGACCTGTGCCCACGGGCACTGTGCCAACAGCTGTGAGCGCGGCAACACCACTACCCTGTACAGCCAGGGTGGCCACGGGCATGACCCCAACTCTGGCTTCCGCATCTGTGAGTGCCTTGGGCTGGAGCCTAGCTCTATAGAAAGGAAGCCCACTGCTTAACTTGGGTCTCATGACTAATACAAAAGCACACAGGGAGCTGAATCCTCACCCAGCTCTGCCACAACCAACTGTATGACCCTGGGCAAAGCACATAGCCTCTCTGAGCCCAAGTTTCCTCAGTAGAGAATTGAGGGAGTTAATAATAATGCCACCTGTCCCCCTGTCTCCCAGGTTATTGTAGAGTCAGGAGAAGCTGTGAAAGGGCTTTTTAGAAAGGCAAGGGCTGGTTATTATTTCACTTTCTCACTCCTGGGCCTACATCTTAAGGATGCTATTCAAGCCACCAGATGTGGGGTCCTGCCCCCTGCTTCTCTGTTGTCTTCTGCCAGCCATATGGTAGGTGCTACTAGGTTCTTCCATCGCCAGTCACTTTGAGGGTTGGTGTTGTAGATTTCTGCCAGATCCCTTGCCTGAATGGAGGCCGCTGCATCGGCAGGGACGAGTGCTGGTGCCCTGCCAACTCCACGGGGAAGTTCTGCCACCTGCCTGCTCCACAGCTGGACAGGAACACTCCAGAGGGGGTCTCCCGCCACAGGGCCCTGCTGGAAGCCCCCGTGAAGCAGTCCACCTTCACATTACCTCTCTCCAACCAGCTTGGTGAGTGCCAGCCCCGGGACTGGTAGCTGCTGGCATGTTGATGGAGGGAGACAGGGAAGCTGTATTTGGTCTTATATCCAAACCTCCTTCCTTCTTTTCTACTCTCGTGACTATTTAATGCCCTAAACTTCTCTTTCCCCTTCCATTCAGATTTATCGATACTTTGTGCCCTTACCCTGTGCTAGGTGCTGGGGGAGGGGAGGGAGACAAAACAGAATAAAGGCAGAGTGTTGCCCTCAGGAGCCCACAGTGCTGGGCTGTGGAGTGAGGATGCGTGGGAAATGAATACCAACATAAAGCATTTCATTTTCCCTGCCTTCCACTATTAGGTGCCAAAGAAAGGGTACAAAAACCACACAGTGCTGTGGAGGCGGGGGGAATGCTGAGCCTTCTGAGCCCGAATGCTCAGGGAAGGCCACGTGGGGGAGATGGACTTCAACTGAGGCCTTAAATGATCAGTAGTACTTGGTCAAGCACAAAGGAGTGTGTGTGTGGGGGGGGGGGGGGCTCTGGCAGAGGAACTGGCCCTAACAAAGGCCTGGAGGTAGGACCATGCAGTGATGTCACTAGGGCAGCACAGGGGATGCAGATCACACTGGGTGACACTGTCAGAAGGGCTGACACCAAAATGACTGCCTATAAAGTTTGTGTGCAGTGTTTCAGCAGAAATTTATTTTTTTATACAAATATCCCTGTAGTTAGTTATAATAACAAAAGCATTTTTCATAAGCCCAGCTTAAATATATCAATATACCTGCAAGGGTAAAGCTCTATGCTGATTTACTTTTTGAATTGCCTGAGCTCTCAAGTCACAGCTGTCATTACTAATTACAACCACACTTCGAATCATGTGGTTTCGCCTGCCCTTGCTACATGCTATTGTTTTCAATGCTGTCAGTGTTTTTATAGTCACTGATTTTGTCCAATTTTCTGTTGTTTTACCTACAATATTGTGGTAATTAGTATTTGTGAACATATATGAATACCTTTTTTAGAGAATGAAGTAGTAATTAAAGGAAAAGAAAGAGACATTAAAAAAGGCTTCTATTCACTTATTAATAATGTTGTAACTAAAATGTAATTCAATGTAGAAAGATTTTATAAAACAATTTTGCAGTTCATATAATCTAAGAAATACTACATTTAAGCATATTTATCACATATTATTCTGTGATTAAAATGGATAATAAACATATTAAAGATTCACTATCTTCTGACCGGGGAGGAGGAGGTCCACGGGGAGGGGGTGACACCATGCATCACCACACTGGGTGATACTAACCCTAGTGACGCCACTGGCACCACCACTAGCTGGGTCTCCAGGGTTGTACAGGCTCGTGGGAGAGATGAGGTCAGATTAGAACGGTAGTTTCCGGCTTGATAATGAAGGTCCTTTGTTAAGGGGCATGGAGTGAAGGTGTTTGTGTTTCAACGGTCCTCACTGGGGAATGATTCCTGGTTCTGAGTAGGAGGTGAAGACATGCAAACGGAGTCTTGGGGAGACACCTAGGCAGTGCTCCACCTGGCCCAAGGCTGGCGGGCATTCTTCCCAGGGAGGGACAAAGGGGGTGGGGCCCTGTGTCCCTGACTCTGACCGTAGCCCCTCTGCTCAGCCTTCGTGAACCCCTCCTTGGTGAAGGTGCACATCCGCCATCCGCCCGAGGCCTCCGTGCAGATCCACCAGGTGGCACGGGTGCGGGGCGAGGCCGAGGAGGCCCGGGAGAACAGCGTGGAGATCAGACCCTCGCTCCGGCTCCCTGCCAGCCCCGGCCACAGCCACTGGGACAGCAACAGCATCCCCACTAGCTCCAGAGAGCCCTCTCGGCCACTGCCTCCCGCGGCGCCCAGGCCTCGGGGGCTCCTGGGACGGTGTTACCTGAGCACTGTGAACGGGCAGGTGAGAACACAGGTCCTGCCTCAACCCTGGAGGCTTCCAGAGATGGTGCCCACTCTGCCCTCCTCTTCCTCCTCTCTCTCCTCTTCCTTTTCCTTCTTCCTGAATGTGAGCATCTGCAGAACCTCTGGTGTCCCAGATGGGAAAACTCAAGGCATAAAATTGCCTGAAGTTTGAGAGCCTAGACCCCTACCAGGGCTCCACTGTACCTGTCAGTGCTAAGGTGGCAGAGGAGGACAGAAGAGAACCCTGGAATGAAGGCAGCCTGGAGTCTGGTCCCAGGACACCCTGGGCTCTCAGAACTGAGCCTAGCACATGACTCATGGGCAGTAGGCCTGTGTGAAGGGAAGGCATTTGGTATCCAGTGGAGACTAGGGTTGCAAAAATGTGGAATCAGCAAACCCAGGTTGAACCCCAGAGACCTGGGGTTGCAAAGATAGGAGACACCCCCTCCCCACCCTGGAGGCATCCGCAGTCAGTGATGGCAAACCAGGGTTGCTTTTCTGAGCCTAGACCTCTAAGAACAGGGGTGAGGTAAGGCCTAGAGTGGATTTTCTTGTGGCTGCCATTCAGTATAGGAGCTCTGATGGTGTAGTACCTAAGGCACTTGACTGCTAACCAGAAAGCTGGCGGTTAAAACCCACCAGCCACTCCTTGGAAGGAAGATGGGGCAATCTACTTCTGTGGTGATACTGCCTCGGAAACCCAAGGAGGGGTTGCTATGAGTCGGATTTGACTTGATGGCAGTGAGTTTGGTTTTTTTGGTTTGCCATTCAGTATGATCACAAACCTGTCCTGAGGTCAGGGAACTAGAGAGGGAGAGAGTAGCCTCCCCACCCTCTTAGCTGTGAGTCCCTGAGCCTGGGCTCTGCTCACACTGAGGTCCACACTATGGGAGACACTGAGATCCCTGGAGTTAATGGAGGAAAGCATGTCCTTTGGGGCCCTCTCTTTCTGGGCTGGAGACATGGAGGGTAGTACTTTGTAGAACAGCACAGGACAGGTCTTGTGTCTGGTTGTGGGATTATCAAGTCATCAGGGTCTTGAGAGTCTGGTGGAGTGGATCACAGATTTCTGTGCTACCCCTTGAGTCATGGGCTGTCTCCCTTCTCCCCTCCCTTGGGTGAGGGCTTCCTCCAGCAGAACGTGGGGCGTGGGCTCTGTGTCCTGGGCTTTCCTGGAGCATCTCTGGCACCACTGGGGAAAGGCAGGGGTCACCAGTGTCCATGGCCTCTTTTTCAGTGTGCCAAGCCCCTGTTGGAGTTGACGGCCCAAGAGGATTGCTGTGGCAGTGTGGGAGCCTTCTGGGGGGTGACCGCATGCTTCCCTTGCCCACCCAGACCAGGTGAGTGCTGAATGCCAAGAGGTCGAGGGTTGTGAGGGATGCTTTCTTCAGAGCCTGGCCTGCTCACCTCTCTGTTGTGGGCTCTTTAGTCCCTTATCAGGCAGGTAAACTGGACAGGCTTTCCAGAACTGCTTCGAGGGTGCTTCTGGCTAATACCTGAGGGTCCTGACAGGTCAGGCAGCTCATTCCTTCTGCCAGGACAGCTGGGCCTGCCTGCCTCATGCTACTACTGCCTGAGTGGGGCTCCCCTCTTACCAGTTGTTCTCACTCAGATGACAGGGATCCCATCCCACGCTGGGACTCTCCCACTCTCCTCCCCATACATATACCCCTGCCCAGGCACCAGGGGCCCAGAGGTCTTGACGTGGTGATTTAGTGTTTCCCTCATTTTCTCCCTGGGGATACCTGGCCCCTCACTATGGAAGGAAGATGGGGAGATCTACTTCTGTAAAGATTTACAGCCTCAGAAACCCAATGGGGTTGCAAGTTTGGTTTTTTCAGTTTTTTCATAGGCCAGTTGTTCTCACTCAGATGGCAGGGATCCCATTCCATGCTGGGACCCTCCCACTTTCCTTCCCATACATACACCCTTGCCCAGGCAGTAGGGACCCTGCAATTGGGAGGGACATTTGTGCTTAGCATGGCTCTCTCACACTGAGGCCCACACCCACTCAGCCTGCCTTCCCCTCTAGGCCTCATTCCTGGGCCAAGGCCTGGTCTGTACTTCTTTCGCCCGTCAGCAGCCAATTGAATGAGTCAAAGAGGCTCCTTATAGATGGCTCAAGAGGAGCCTGGATCAGGAGCCAAAGATGGAAGGGGCAGGGCTGGTCTCAGGAGCCTACTCAACTGTGGAGCAGTGACCATATTTTCTTAGCTAAAAATAAGTGTAGGTGTTTTCATAGTGTGATAGACTTTTTGGTGAAACAGACTTGAGTGTTAAACACATACCAGATACCTGTCCCAGCTCCGCCCCTTAACCTCTTTCTGACTCATCATTTCTCTTCATCTGTGAAATGGAGACAATAATAGTGACTCTGCTCTAGGGCTGATGTGGAGAATAAATGAGACGATATAGTGATTAGTCTACTCATTAGTCAATGAGTGGTAGCTATTACTGTTATCATCATCATCTTTATTATTAAATATCCCTCAAGAAGGGGGGAGGGGGTGGACTCACTAGAGAGGAGTACGTCCAGCTTCTCTGCCGCCTTTCTTCTTGTTTTCCTTCCGCCTTCCTGCCAGGCCAACGCTTGCGGTTTCCACGTCCCACATTCCATTCAGTCAACAAATATTGACACTGACCAAGCACCCATTTAAATTTCCCATAATGTGCAGGCCTGGGCAGACAGTAGAGAATGAAAGAGAAGCGGTACCTCCTCTCCTCAAGTTTACGGTCTCCTGGGGGTCCCTAGACAATTAGTGGGCATCAGAAAGAGTGTTCGTGCAGTGACAAGATAAGTACTGTAGGAA